TTTGAATGCATGAATTTAAGACTTTTTTTAAGGGTGTGCGGTCACCCTGTTCATGTGATCTGTGGCTCTTATTGGTCAGCTGGCCTTTAAACCCAGCATATAAAGCACACTATTGTCTCCTCATGTTTTATTACTGACGTGCTGATCTGACCTGGAGGGACTCGGGGACGCGGTGGTGGTGTCTCGTCTCCTCCGCTGTCAGGCCTTTGTGTGGAGTGTAACTGGTGTCGGTGAGGCCCGCCGTCTGCTCAAACTTGTACATGCTTTCCTGAGTGTGTTCTGAGGGCAGACGACAATACAGTCACTCTAGTGGAAAGCTGCTTGATAGCAAAATCTATTTTCATGTCTTGATCAAATAATCCGATTTAGAAAATATTCAGATAGCATGGATAACTTTCCACCCTAATAAAGGGTCGTTACGTAGATTATAGGAGCTCTAACTTACTGGTGATGAGAGAATTCATGATGATGGACGAAGCCTTAGTTTTCACTACAGCTGGAGCCTTGAAGAGGGCGCCATCCTGCCCGGCAGCCTGTTTGACGGCGCCGCCTTCATCCTCCTATAAGGTCAAACAGTCAGACTGAAAGTGGACCTGTTGGGAAACGATCAGGCGTGGAAATGGAAAAGTGTTTTACCTCAGCTAGCTGGGAGAACTTCCTCTCCGGTATTACAGGCCGCCTCCACAGGTTGTTGATGCTGATGTCGTGGGGTGGCGTGGACATGGGGGCCTCCAGGTTGTCGTCGTAGCTGAGGGCCCGTCGAGTCATTCCAACGGGGAGCTTCATCCCACCCATCCCAGAACCCTCGATGGCTGCAGAGATAATTTCATATTTTGTCCTCTTTCATTGTGATATTACTTCATCTCCAGAATGGAGAGATTTCACCGTAGTAAAGCGGCTCAGAACAAAGTAGACAAAAGCTTAAGGTTAACATTAATGTTTTTTGTGCTTGGAGTCGGTCTCAACAAAATATTTAAAGGGACTGAATCACTTGAAAGAAAAAAACTGAAACTTCTGAATAAAGGCTCTAAAAATAGGAAAATATCCAACAACGTTTTGTTCCATATTTTAAGCTAAAAAATAAGCAGGGAAATCGTCTCTAACTCAGAAAATGTTCGGATGATGATTTTAAAAAGCAAAACCATCAAAAACAGAAATGGTGTCCGAAGCTCATCTGGATGACAAAAATGTGAAAATTGATCAACTGATGGCTCCTTAGGGAAATATTAGTTTGCTATAGGCACACAGATTAAATCTATTAAGCTTCTGTCTATTAAGAGTTGATAAATCTCATCTCGTGAACATGGACCTGAAATAAGTCACTCACAAGGAAATTCTAAGGATTATTTTTCAAAGAGTTTGAAATTTTAGATGATGAATTGGTTTATTTACAAATAAATATTTAGAAAGAAATCAATTATGAAAATAAAATGTTAAAACACAAATTTAAAGTTAAAAAAAATATTAAAAGTAAAGCAAAAAAACCCAAAACAAAACGCTGCAAAACTTAGTTTATAAATTGGATTTAACAAAATTTAAAGAAAAATTCATTATAGAAATGATCTTGATTCCATTTGATAACTTAACTTGAGACAGACGGACCTTATCCTTCCTAAAATAACTCGTTTTGCTCGTTTTATTGGGTGTCCTGACCGCAAAACAATTTAAAAGCAAAGTTTCAACATATTCAGTTACATGTTAAATTATTAATACTATCTGATGACATGGAATATGATTCAGTTAGGAACATAAATATTGTCCAGTCACAGCAGAATAAAGTTAATAGTTGGTTTAGGTATGAGGTTGCAGGCGGTTGCAGCTGTAGGTTCATATGAGGTCCAGAAGCAGTTGCCAAGTTTTAAAGCTCTGGTCTGAGGCGGTTTTTCTGATAACAAAGTAAGCAACTGAGGGACTTTGGTTTTGTTGATATTTAGGTCAGAATATTCCCACAACGAACAGATACAAACATTAACAGAGCAGAAAATGACCTGTGGTAAATCTCTGCAGAAAGGAGGCGTAATCATGTTCAGTAAGTCAATTAAAACATTTTGTTTCAGATCAAACTAAACTTGCATTTGTGACTAATATACATTTTTAATCATTTTATACAAGTTAAATATTTCTTCTTTAATAAAACCCTTAACCTAATAAGAATCAAATAAGCCTTTATTGTTTGGCTTTCGTTACATATGACGCATCTTTAAAAAAAAAATAAATAATGAAGATACTGCGCATGGGCAGAGCACATACTGATTTATCAATTTAAAACTGACCTTCATTAATCCATATCAGTACTCACCTGGTAAGTCACCAGAACCAGACATAGCTGCAGTTAATTAATAAACAAGTTGAGACAAGGGAGAACCTGGAAGGAAGAAAGGAAACGGAAAGAGAGTCGTTGGCTTAAATCTGCCTGATTTCTAAACTGAAATTAAACCAATATCTGTTTAGAAATCACACTGTATTTCTAAACAGACCATAAGCATTAGACTTATGTAATAAATCTAACACTTAGACTTGTTACAGCAGTACAATCATGTCTGAAAATTTTCGCAGAAAACAAAAACAGCCGCTAAATTAAGTAAATGTATTCAAAAGTGCAAAGTCTTGTTGACTCTGTGGAAACCCCTTCTGGCACAAGAGCAGCATTCTCCTATAGTACTTCTGTTCTGGTGAACTGCTAGGTAACCGCTCTCCTCTGCCACTCCCCTATGCTGCACCTTTCTGCAGCTTCTCTGCCTGTTAGTGAGGAGAACCAGGTGGACTCAATCTCCTAGCAATCAGAGTGCAGGTACTTTTGGTGTGACTGACCTGTCACTTTGGTTTGAGAGCATCAGAAGCAAACAGTGCTGGTAGCATACAAATTCAGAACTGTGCAAAAGTTTGTACAAACTGTTACAAACTGTGAAAGACAGCCGGTTTTTCAGCTATGTGGACCATCATACAAAAATAAAGATGAGTCAACCAAATTAAAGGGCTCTTTGAGTGAAATCCAGTTCAAACTTCACAGTGGATAAACTATCCCTTTCAAGTGGGGAGTCACACAGCAAACCAAACCTGACAAAATTTGACAACTTCACAAGGCTGGAGAATAAAGACACAATGAGCTCTGACCTTAGTGAAATCTAGGGCTACAAATACATACAGAAATAAACATTTTATTGCCTAAAATGCAACAACACAGCATTCCTTCAGTGAACACTAGATGAACAGTAGCAAAAAATGCATAAAGGTTCAAAACTGGATTTTACTTTTAAGCTGCTGCATATAAAGACTTCCTACACATCCTCACCACAACTTTCATTCTTTTAGGAAAAACAAATTCCTTACATGGGACTTTTGTATTTCAATATTTTTCACATAGGATACATATTATGTTTAGCTTAAGACACCTACCTTCTAGTTTTGTTGCTCTGACTTGGGCTAGAAGGAGTGGAGGTAATGGTTATACTGGTCTGTCGGATGAACACAAACGCCTCTGGCAATGCATTGTGGGAGAGCAGCAATGCCACTGATGCAACTGAAGAGACAGCAGAGAACAAAAGTGAGTCGATCCATTGCATAAATCCTGCAGAGGACAAACAACCACTCAGTGTTTCTCCCTTAGAGCCAACAGCGAAGTGGACAACCAGAGTATGGGCAGTAACACGCAGCACGCTGCTCTGTGTGCTCACCATCACTTACTGTAGGGAAAAGATTGAGAAAGCAGATGGAGGAAGTGGAAATGAGTTTCCTGTCTCCCAGTTCAGCCTCGGCAGACAAAAGACTAAGTTCACATGGAAAACTGACGACGACAAACTCGATCAAAAATGGTTTTACCGACAAAAATTCAACTGCTAAAGACTGCCTCGATTTTTGGTAGCTTGTTAGAGTTGAAGGGAAATGAATTGTTGCTTTAAAATCCAATTATATGCAGCCGCTTAGTTGGGCTTCCAGTCTTCTTGATGTAAAAATTTGATAAAAATGTTGCTACATAAAATGCTAACATTCCCAGTAAGAGGTTGAGAACAAAACAGTAAGAAAAATCTGTTTTAAGTCTAATACACAATGTAAGTAACTTATCTTTGGTTTTGCTGCAGTGTTTTTTTTTTATCATTTCCTTTTCATCAATTATTACATTCTGCTGTGGTTTATATTGATGCCTCTCTCCCCCATTCTAATGCCTTTTGTATTTTTTCTTTATCCATTTTTAACTATAGAAAAAATTTCACAAGAAATAAAAAGGTATTTAACTTTTTATTAAGTTATCTTATGATTAAAATCCACTTTTTATTGTCTAAAAATATTGATTTTTTTTTTCTTGGGTCAGTTGGTACTGTAAACACTGCTGCCTTGGTGCAAGAAGGTCAGGTGTTTGAATCTCGACATGGGGTCATTCTGGATGGAGTTTGCATGTTCATGGAAGGGTTCTTGGCGGGTACTGCTGCTTCCTCTATGAGTAAAGAACGTGTGGTGTGACTGTAACTTCAGTCAAATATTTTAGGGTTGAATTGTGCAGTGATCCAGCATCTGCATCTAAAAATCCCCTCACAAACCAATCACTAGCCTTCATGTGGGCCAAATTACTTTCAAGTGGGTCCATTCTTTCACGAACTTAAGGGTGACACATTTCTTGCATAACCTTGCATGGAGCCAACAATGAGACAGCAACACAGATTGCAGAAGACAGAATATCCAATAAAGCGTGACATGGCAAGGGAAACTGGTGCCGTTAATAAACCGTTATAAAACAGGATCAGCCAGGCTTTATTGCGCAGACGTGCACCTCAAAATAAAGACATGTTTGGTTCAAGAAGGCCTTAAGGAAAATATTTCTGAGCTAAAATCTGCCAAAAAAAAAAGAAGGAAAAAAATGAACCAACGCGAAGATCCTGACAGGGTCATCTGCTTTAACAATCCATAACCAGACTGCATTCAAAAAACAGCTAAAAGAAGAAGCATCATCATGTTATTGCTTCAGACCTGTCGTTAAATTTCCGTTTACATTTTTATTCTATCTAATGTGGCCGAGGCAAGTTATTCGTCGTTTAAAAAAAGTGTTCCCTTCTACGAAGAAACATCCGATTCAAGACACTTGTTATTGGGCATCGACAGTATAACTAGTCTCGAAAATTATATTTTAACCTACTCAAAAAATTTACATTAACTGCCAACGCCGCACAAGACCGACTACAACTGACCATTTACATTGCAAAAAGTCGTTTTTGCGTGCAATTTCGTTATTGTTTTGCGCAGAGAATAGCGGAACCTCCGAAGCGCTGCGCTGAAAAGCAAAGTACATCAAACAGATAGTAGGTAAATATGTCTGAAAACGGTATTATTAGCGCATTTTGCATAATTATCTCTCACCTGAAGTAACAAATGTATCAAAGCAAAGACGCAGACGCCGTTAATACGCCGGTTTCGACTTGTAGGCTAGCCTTACAACAAAGCAGCTGGGCGGCAGCCATTATTGTGTTTGCAGACGGAAAAGCTTCCTCATGCACTGCAGGTTTGGTTGGTCTCGCTGAACATCGCGAGAGAAAAGAACGAATGCGTGTCTTTTAGCTGTTTGCCGAGATAGTGTGTTCATGTTGAGATCTGCTCCATAATAAAAGATTGTAAAGCTTTTGTTGATTCATATATATATGTAATTGAATTTTTTTTATTTTATTTTTTTTATTTGTTTTGTTATTTTCTTTTGGTGTTTCCTCATTTAGCTGGGAGTTGTTTGTTGTTTTTTAACTGACGTTTTGATTTGAAAAGAGTTTTTTTTTTTTTGGAAGTCAGAGTTGCTAAGCAATCTATACAAACATCTGACAGTATCTGACTGTTGTCTGTTTAAGATATAGTGCAGAGAATGAGCAAACATACAAGTCGCAGTTCAGTGAAGACAACTAAAGGGTGGTTCAACTAAGGTCCAAGCAATTAGTTAAATAGCACTCGGTTGATGAGGGAACAAGGTGGGTGTTTTATCGAGAATATTGTATTTATTGAACATAATTTTTGTATTTTGATATAAAACGATGTTAATGTTTGATTAACTGTCAAACTGTTAAAACAGTTGAAATACATTTTGGTTAATTTGTAGTATAGAAATGTAGGTTAATTAAATACACGTGATGTAAATGTAATGTTTACATCACATTACATTTAAAAAGTAAAGTAAGTTTTATAGGTTAAAGGAAAAGGTTAGAACCACTAAGAATTACTAATGGTGTTTTATTTGTATGTTTATAGCTCTTACGGTGTGTTCATGTATAAACGCTGTTAAATAAAGAAACGTGAACCATCAGTTAAAGAGACCATCTTTTCAACCGGGACGCTACAAAGATGTAGGGTATGAATTATTAGAAAATTATTAAAAATATATCTTTTAATTTGCAGAAACACTTCTCTTGGAAATGTGTACAGCAGTGGCTCTCTGTCTGCATTCCACCACACAATCTTGAATGAGCTTGACAGACATGCAAAGTTGACAATATATCATCAGATTTACCCTGAAAATTGTACTTTGATATGCACACTTAAGTGTTAAGGTTATATCCCTAAGTTGAGCTAAGTGTATTCAGTGCTGGATGGTGAATGTCACACTAAATTTGTTCCATTTGTGTGACTTTGTAATATTAGAAAAATGTCAGCATTAATGCCTGTTTTATATTTAAATCTCATTATTTCTCAATTAATAACACTGAGGGGTTTTGGCCAGATCCTGGGTCTAGTAAACAGGTGAACAGAAGGTAAAATGGGTTNTATATATATGCTAGATGTACATGGATGATTTTCGTATTTAGAATAATATCAACAAAGAGCAGCTCACTATTACGGTGGCACAAAAGCAAAAAGTACAGCATCAGCATAAAATAAAATGATGTTGACACTTTAACAATGAAAGAACAAATGGAATAAAAAGTGAAAAAAAGGAAAGATCATTCATAAATAAAAACTTTTTTTTTTTTTTTTTCGAAAGTTAGGTCCAAATTATAATACAATAATCAAAACAACATATGGAATGAAATAAAAAAAAACAAATTAATAAATAAATATCAGTTAATCAAGTTTGTATATCAGCTTATCTTTGCAGGGCCTGTGGGATGTGATGCTTGTCTACAGTATTAGAGGAATATATCTTTAAACTTTTGTTTGCAAATCGCAAGACAACATAGAGTCAAACTGAAAAAAACAACTTTGCACAGACTGAGTGCATTTCATAAAGGACACAACTAAACCTAAT